TATGGTAATTGTATGTTTAATTTTTTATGGAATTGCTGTACTATTTTCCACAGCAGCTGCACCATTTCACATTCCCACCAACAATGCATAAGGGTTCCAATTTCTCCATGTCCTTGCCAATACTTGCTATTTTCATCTTTTTTTTTTATATTTAAAAATTAAAAAAATAATAGCTATCCAAATAGGTGTGAAGAGGAATCTTATTGTGGTTGGTCCATTTTTTCAGTCTCTAAATTCAGCTTTTCTTCTGGTCCTCAGTGTTTTCATGCTGCTCAGCTGTCTTTATGTATTTCTGAGAGATGAGATGGAGAAAGGAGACCCTGGAACCTACCTTAGAAGTGGAGATGGCCATGGCCCCCCTTTGTTCTGCATGCAGTGCAGGCCCTGGGAACTTGGGCTGTGGGAGGAAGCCGGTGACTCGGTTGGGGCCCTCGTCTCTGCAGTGCGTCCTCCGGGGACAAGGACTGTCCGATACTTGCTGCTTCAGGGCACAGATGCTTATGGTTGTTTTCAATGGGATAGAAGAAAAAACTTCAAATTCTGGCTGAGGGTTTCCATGGCAGAGTCATGATACAGTTCGAATCTATCCCGGATTCAGAGAAGGAACAGAAGCAACCTTTTAAGATTTCAAAGCTGAATTTAGGGTAAGCTGGGAGTACCTGGCAGTCCAGTGGTTAGGACTCGGCACTTTCACTGCTGTGGCCCCGGGTTCAATCCCTGGTCGGGGAACTAAGATCTCGCACTGCTTGTAAACAGACCCAGATTTCATGTGACCGGGCATCAAGGGTGCCCCCTCCTGGACTGGCCAAGAATTGTTTATGGCTACATTTTGAACATGGCAATGCCAGGGCTAATGAAAATAAAAGTTTTAGCTAACGCTTATCATGGTGCTTAAAATGTACCTGACACAGGTCTAAGTGGTTTATATTATTAGCTCTCTTAACAACTCATAACAACTTTATGAGGTAGGGACTCTTATCATGTCCATTTTACTTTTGAGGAAACGGAGGCCCAGGGTGATTAAGTAACTTGTCAAGTGTCACACAGCTGGTAAATGAAGTTGAGATCTGAACCCAGGCAGCTAGGTTCCAGAATCAGGCTTTGGGAAATTTGAAGAAAGGATCAAGTTCAGAGGCCTGATTTAGTAAGACATTGCTTTAAAAAAAGTACTTCATAGTTTATAGAATTTTATGTTTCATTGAATCTTCATAGTAACTCAGTGTGGCAGACATTCATGTCATTCTCATTTTGACAGAGGTGTAAAGTGAGGCCTAGAGGCATAGAGCTTTCTTAAGAAAGCTGGCATGGGGTGTTGGTGAGGATGGGAGAAGAGGGAACCCTGTGCACTGTTGGTGGGAATATCAAATGGTGCAGCCGCTATGGCGAACAGTATGGAGGTTCCTCAAAAAATTAAAAATAAAGCTACCATATGACCCAGCAATCCCCCTTCTGGGTATATTTCCAAAGGAAATGAAATCAGGCTATTAAAGAGATATCTGTACTCCCGTGTTTATTGCAACATTATTCACAATAGCTAAGCTATAGAAACAACATGAACATCTGTCAACGGATGATTGGATAAAGACCACGGGAATGAAGGAAATCCTGCCATTTGCAACAACAGACATGGACCTTCAGGGCATTATGCTAACTGAAAAAAGTCAGACAGAGAAAAATACTACACGATATCACCTATATGTGAAATCTAAAAAAGCCGAACTTGTAGAAACAGAGAGGAGAATGGTGGTTACCAGGGGCCGGGGGTGGGGGGGTATGAAGGGGGAGGTGGGGGGGAGTTAGGGAGATGTTGGTCAAAGGGTACAAACTTGCAGTTAGAAGATGAATAAATTCTGGGGATCTAATGCACAGCCTAGGGATTACAGTCAACAATATGTTATATGCTTCAAAGTTGCCGAGAGTAGATCTTTTTTTTTTTTTTTTTTTGTGGTACGTGGGCCTCTCACTGTTGTGGCCTCTCCCGTTGCGGAGCACAGGCTCCGGACGCACAGGCTCAGCGGCCATGGCTCACGGGCCCAGCCGCTCCGCGGCACGTGGAATCCTCCCGGACCGGGGCACGAACCCGTGTCCCCTGCATCGGCAGGCGGACTCTCAACCACTGCGCCACCAGGGAAGCCCCGAGACTAGATCTTAAATGTTCTCACCACACAAAATTAACTATGGAACCTGACGGAGGTGTTAGCTAATGCTATGGTGGTAATCATTTTATAATATTTTAAGTGTATCACATCAGCACATAGTACACCTTAAGCTTACATATGTCAATTATGTCTCAAAAAAAGAACAGGAGAAAAGAAAAGGACCCAAGAGAGCCCTCTCGGAGCTGCCGTTAACCTGTCTGACTCCACATCGGCCCCTGGGCGGCAGGGCTGGCTTCCTGTTGCAGCCTCAGCTGCATCCTCACCTCCAAGTGCCCTCCAGGCCTCTGCCTGGGCATCACGGGTGGTCTGAGTCGGTGGACACAGCTGCACAGGGGAGAGTTCGCAGAATGGTGGGGAGCTTGGTGGCGCCTGAACACAGAATGTGGGCAGGAGCTCAGAGGCCCACTGGGCTGGGAAAGAAAGTGGGGCGGGCAGGATGCTCCCTAGGGGCCAAGGGGTTTGCCCTTTGTCCTGTGTGCGTTGGGAGCCACTGAAGGCTTCTGAGGCAGACAGTGGCAAAACTAGAGCTGGGTTTTAGGAGGCTGGGTTTAGTCCCTCTGTGACCCACAGCTTGTGCACTCTCCTAGCCAAGTTCCAAAAATCTGTCTTCGTAGTTTGCATGTGACTTCCTTCTGTCACTGAGTGTGACTGTCTCTCAGGGGCTGTCAACACTCAAAGGTCACTGGCCCTTATAGGGCACAAGCTTCTATGTTTAGTTTGTAGTCTAGTGACCGCAAAGCCTGTGCTGGGAAACCTGGCCTTGTTTGAGCCTGTGGTAGCAGGCACTATGGTGTTCTTAGTACCTAGAGTGGAAATATAGGGTTTTTTTTTCCCCTGGGGTGGATTCCTCCTTCTTTTTCTGGAAGAACTCCTATTGACCTTTCCAGACCCAGTGGAATGCTCCATCTCCTTTGGTGGCTCCTGGCTTCCTCATAGAATGTGAGTGCTACCACCCCTAAACTCTGACAGTACTTGATCAGTCCCTGTTCTCCTTGTGCTAGAGATATTTATTTGTCTGATTTTCCCAGCTACGCTTTGAGTGCCTTGAGGGAAGCGCCTGGTCTTTGCTGTCTCTATATCCAGTTCAGGGCCAGGCAGAGTTAAGTACTTAATTGGGCACAGTCATCCAAGCATATTATCACCTGCTGACTGATACATATGTATTCTAGGCACTAGAATGCATCAGTGAATAGACCAAAGAAAATTCCCCTCCTGCCCTGGAGCTCTCAGCTTATTAGCTCCTCTGCATGTGACTTCCATATCCATAAATACCTTCTGAGGGACAGACTTCCTGCTGCCTTCCTCAGATCTGGGGGATGTTATGTTTCGAGGGTGGACTTTGACAACTTGAGAAGGAGAAGCGCTTTCTTTCAGCATGAGGGCCATGTGCCTTGTATCCTCCAAATGCTAACAGAACACAGTTCTCTGACTGGTAGGTTGTAGGTGCTCGCTGCACAGGTATTGGATGGAGATTGGAGTAGAATTAGACTGTGGGTAAGATTTTACTCCCCGGGGGAGGGGGACCTGCTTGGGCCAGGGCAATCCCAGGTCTTGCACAACGAGAAGGACACGGCCAGCTCCGCGAGTTCTCTACAAAAGGATTGCATTTTAGAGGCAGACAGGGGCCTGACACGATGCAATCAGACTACAAAATAATTGGTTTTAATTCTAGACCGTACCTGCGGCAGGTTTTGTCCCCTCTCTTGGCACTTTCCCAGCCCCAGGGCTCCCTTTTGAGTTTTAGAAGCAGCAACTTGCAGATGTCCACCCTGCCTTGAGGAACATGAAAAGACAGAGGCCAGAGAGAGGGGCCTTGTGTCATTCTGGAACCTGTGGCGTGACACAGCTGTCAAAGGGTCCCCTCCCTTCCCTCCAACACACTCACCCACCAGCTGTCAAGGCCACAGGAAACCAAAGAGAAAGGGCACCGTAACTGGGACTCCAGAGTTTCCAACAACTCATCCTGTGGTAGCAGCCAGGGTGGTTCCCGGCCAGGCTTGGCCACTGACTCAGCTGGGCAAGTCAGCGTCCTTCCTTGGAAAGCAGTTTCCACGTGACTAACGTGAGGCGGTTGGATGGGATGGTCTTAAATGCTCTTGTGGCTTTTTGTAGGAAAGAGCAGGGGCTCTGGTGTCAGATACACCTGATTTTAAAATGGAAGGAAGCTTGAGAGGTGGGGTAGAGTGGCGTAGAGAGCTGCATGGGTTTCAGAGCCAGACACACCTGGGTTCCGACCCTGGGTCTGCCCCTTATTAGCTATTTAACTTCAGACAAGTTGCTTAACCTCCCGGAGGCTGGGTTTCTGTGCAAACATAGTGATATGCCCTCCTCCCTTGGTGGCTGGAGGAAGCGTCTATAATGTGATATTGCAGGGAGGGTCCGGAGCTCAGGGCTTGGCACAGAGAAAGCTGTAATCAGCATGGGTGGTGGCAGTGGTATTTGAGATGCTAACCACTTCAAGGTGGACAGGTGTCCTTGAGGCAGGGCACAGGGTTTGAGAAGCTGCTCTGAGCAGGGCACTCCAGGAAGAACTACACATGGAGGTGTAAATTTCCATCCAAAAGTTGCTTGCTCATTCTGGAACAGAGCCACGGAAACAGCTGGACCACCCCAAACTGTCATGAGTGTCTTTATCCCCACAGGGACAGGCTAACCCAGGGCTGCTGGCTCAGGTTGGGCCCGCCATTGCCGGGTGCCAAGCCTCCACGCAGCACACGTGGGTGCATCCGGATGAATCCTGGGATTCTGGGTGAGTCCCAGGGCTCCTGGCCATGTACTGGCTTGCTCAGTGCATGGCCTGGGCTGCAGGTCTGGGTGAACACGCTCTCTATTCCTTTCCAGTGCGTCGGTCCAAGGCGGCTGATGAGGAGAGAAGGCGCCGAGCCCAGCGCGCCCGGGACGAGTACCGGCGCCACTCCCTCCGCGCCATCCAGAAGGGCACGGTCGCTGGCCTCAGCTCCAGGTTCCGAGAGCTCGGCCAGAGCCACGAGCAGGAGGCGAGACTCTCCCACCACCTCCTGGGCCCGGGGCCGCCTTCACCCCTGGCTGTGCCTGGCAGGTGAGTCACGGACCTCGCATCCGCATGCGCGGTGTGTCTGGGGGGAGGGCCTGCGGCTGGGGCGTAGGGCACCAGGGATCCGGTCCGGCTCTGCCTCCGACTTGCTGTTTAATTTGGGGCTAGTCATCTCTCCCCTCTGTTGGCCTCAGTGCCCTAGTCTGTGTAATGGGGCAGGAGTTGGGGAGAGGAGTCGGGGTTGGAGATTTCTACCAACTCTGGAGTTCTGGGAGGCTTCACCTCTTTGGGGTCTAGGATTCCTTTGAGAATCTAAAGAAAGCTGTGTACCCTCTTCTCTGCGAAATGCACATATGTAAATACCCCAAAACGTTTGCATATAATTTCAAGCTCTAAAAGATCCGTAGACCCCAGGTTAAGAACTTGTAATGTAAGACCTCAAATGGGTTAAATGTGGCCCAGCAGCCTGGAACCAGAACTCGCTGCTGCTTTTTGTAACCACAGGTGATGCTGGTGCATCCCGGGTTCTGATAGCCGGTTGCAGATGAACGCAGTTGAGTGCAGGAGGGTCCTTACACGCTGGGCTGATGAGTGGTTTGGCAAGGGCGCTCAGGTGACTGACTGCCCATGATTGCTGGGACGGAGGATCAAGAGGTTGCCTGGAGCCTCTCGACCTGCCGCCTGTGCCCACCTCAGGCCAGCCCTAAGGTTGGTTCCCCTCCTCATTATTGCTGATTGTCTGCTGCCCGAGGGAGGGCTCAGAGGCTGGATGGTGAGTGCCTGCTGCTCCCTGAACCACAATAAACCTGCAGAAGAGTCCATTCAGCCCCAGATGACAGAGGGTTGTCTGGGTTTTGCTTTGATTGGGATCTAGGATTATTCATAAAACCCCCTCCCTCTCCCTGCAGCCTAGGGAGAACTGACATCTGCATTCCTTCCTTCCTTCCCTCCCTTCCTTTCCTCCTTCCTTGTCATTTATATGATTCACAAACCAGAAAGTTTAAAAAGATACATGGAGGAAAGGCTGACTCCCATCCTTGCCGTCCATCTACTCAGTTCCCTCTTCCCCGCACAGGGAACCACTGTTCTTAGTTTATGTGTCCTCCCAGTTCCTTTTTGCAACTGCCAAGGTGAAAAGTTGTATCTCCTTCTTTTTTTTTTTTTTGCATAAAAGTTTGCCTATCATACACATGGTTCTGCATCTTGATTTTTTTTCCATTTAACTATAAATTTTGGAGGTCTTTACATATCGATTCTTACCTGATTATTTTTATTTAGTTTTCTTTTTACAGCTGCATAGTATTCCACTGCCTGGCTGTGCTCTAATTTATTTTTCAAAACCTCTATTAATGGGCATTGGTGTTGTTTGAAATCTTTGGTTATTACCAACAGTGCCCTTAATGAGTAACCTTGTAGACACGCAACTATTATCTACAAGAGAGATTCCCAAAAGTGGGGCCACTGGGTTAGGGGCTACATGCACTTATAGTATTGATAGTTCTCATCAACTTGCCCTCCACAGGGGTGGTACCAATGAACACTCTCATCCTTTAGCCTTGCCAGCAGTGCGTTGTCAGATTTTTGTTTTGTATGAGACATAATATCTCAGTGAAAATTTAAATTTGCATTTCTGTTTATGTATCTTGTATATGTTTAAGGGCCTTTGGTATTTCTCTGTCTGTTCATTTCCCTTCCTGCCTCTTCATTGTGTTATTGGTCTTTTCGCCATCTGTTTCTAGGAACTCCTTAAATATTAGGGAAAATATTAGGGATGCTTTTCTTTGTGATAAACATTTTTTCCCCTCAATTTGTCATTTGTCTTTTATGATGATGTTTTCTGTCATGTGGGAGTTCTTTATTTTTATGAGGTCAGATTTTCTTTTATGTTTCCTGGATTTGGAGACATAGTTAGAAAAGCCTTCTTCCTCTTGTGCTTTTTTTTTTAAAGGAGACATATAATTTGTCCTTCAGGCCCAGAAGACAGAGCTGCATGAACTGTGTTGCAGTCTGGCTCCAGGCTCGCTGTGTGTGGCTGTCAGTAGAGGAGAAGAAGTGACAGCCACAGTGTGCTGCCTTGGGTGGAGCAGGGGGATCAGGGACCATGCAGATGGAGCGGCAGACCCAGGCACCAGAAGCCATGCCTCAGCCTCCTTCCTGTGGCTGCCCCATGGAACAGGTCCCCGTGGCCTCACTGCCCTCAGCGCTGTGGTGCTTGCACCGGCGGCCAGCCCACACTTGCCCGGTTATTCCGGGGGCAGACACATTGTTGATGGGAGAGAGTTCCAGGTGCAGAAGTGAGGCTTCTGGCCAGGTGGCCTCTTGGAGCACTTGGTCCTAGCATTTATATTCTGGGGAATCAGATTCTCTGCTTAGAAACAGAGGGACAAGAGTGAACGAATTTTCCTTGCTGTTATTTATAACCTCCTCTTGCCTTCTAAGGAGAATGAGTCCTAGAAACCAGAGGATATTTCTTCCCCCGAGCACAGTTATTTATTGGGGAATGCAAGTGTGAAGGAAGAGGCTGGGGCAGGGCTGCCGTGTGCCGCTTCATAAAGAGGAAGAGCACCTGAGGTTCCTGAGAAGAGGGAAATCCTCAAGGGCGGATACGGAGGAGCAAAGCTGGTTGGAGGGGTGTTAAAAAAAAGCCTGCGGAGGTGGCAGCGGGAAGCAAGGGGTTTGGAGAACAGACTCCACTGATGACGGCTTCAGGCTGTTCAATGGAACGTCACCCTCTGTCTTATTGCATCTTTTCTAAAATCTACAGTGTTCACTACTGTGTGTGTGTGTGTGGATTCATCTTAGGGCAGGTAAGAATAGGGGCTCATTCTGGGGTTTGCCAGGAAGTGCTGGGCTCAGCATCGAAGTGTTGGTTGGTGCAGGGGAAATGCAAAGACTTGGGGACATCGTGCTGGTGTTTATTTCATAAGAGACGACGACAGCGGTGGTGAATTCTAAATGCCAGTGCTGTGAGGCGGACAGACAGCAGTGACAGTGTGAGCCTGTGCCAGGTTGCTGTCACTCGGGGGGAAGGTGAGAAAGCTGTGGTTGTTCATGCTGGGCCCAAAGTCTGCTGAAGCTCTGTTTTCATCCCACACAGCAGTGCAGTGTGATCCTGCTGCATATCACCTCAACACGCAGGGGTGTGTGTTGTTACGGGGAATGTGCTGTCAAACCCTTACTGGGCTTCATGTCAGTGGGTCTCACGTGGCCCCGTCTCTGTATACGTTCAGGAGCCACAGTATAACAAGTAAAATCTGGGCTTACTTATGAGAAAATATCAAAAAGCAGCTAATTTATTACTCAGACCTTCTTCAGGTGCCCCTCTTCATCTCCCTCCCAGGATCTTCAATTCCACACCTGCTTCTCCATCAAAAGTCAGCCCGTGCAGCGACTCTTTCCTCCCCTCTCCCTTTCCTCTGTCCTTTTCCCTCTTACTTCTTGGGGGTGAAGCTCAGCCGTTTCCAGAGCAGATTGAGGCTGTTCACTGTCCTGGTTCTGCCTCATAAAACATGGAAGGCTAGCTGGTCAAGCCAGGTGTCCCCTTAGACGGCAGCGGTGGGTGAGAGGGGGAGGGGCAAAACGAGAGTTCTCTTCAGTGCGGGTTTGGGGAGGGCGGAGGACACGCACATGTGAATAATTTTGCTCCTATTACATTACGATCCTTCTCCATAGACGCTGCTGTTTACGCCCTGGCCATTCTAGAGGGTAAATATGCCTTTTCTCTCCCTCTGACATCCCCTCCTATCCTACTTCGCACTCGCACCTGCGTGGCTTTTTTTCAAACTAAGTGACAACAGTTTTGTTTTGGGGAAAACAATAACAGCTGGTACATTATGACCTGCAAAGCGCCTTCAAGTACCTGGACTCATTTAATCCTGTCCACAGGCGTGAGTGTGGGCGTCGGGACTGTTCACGCTCACAGTGGTCTCCCCCACTCCCTCCCCCTCCTTCCTTCCCCTCTCGCGGCCCCCTGCTCTCTCCCTGACTCTGCCACACTCGGTCTCTGTCTCAGCAGGACTTGGGAGCGGCCCCTGTGTCCCGTCTCCAGAGAAGTCATAGTGCGCTGGTTTAAGGAGGAGCAGCTGCCTCGCCGCGCGGGCTTTGAGAGGAGCACCAAAGCCATCGCCCCCTGGTTCCACGGTAGGGTGGCTTTCCGGATCCCTGGGGCAGGGGCAGATACTTCCACATCTCAGCCTCCCTCTGGGGTTGGTGCGGGGTCCTGAAGGGCCACCACAATCAGAGGAGTCAAGGACTTTAGACTCTGCTAATTCCGCTCCGGCCCCACGAAGACTGGCCGGCCTCCCAGGGCTAAGGCTCAGCGCTCCTGGCTCACCTGCCGGGGTGGAGTAGAGAGGGGGCCCATGTCTGTCCTTTCTTTGCTCACTGAGTGTGTTGAGCTCAAGGCACAAGCTTTGATCTCCCCAGGGCGTGCGCTGGAACACTGAGTGACCTTGATGGAGATGGTCAGAGACCAAGCACAACATCTGTGAGCGCGAGTCCAGGGGACTGCAGGCCCCAGGGCTCTGGACGTGCACTGCCCTCTCTGCTGGGAAGGGATGAACGCGGCTCGTGCCTACTGTCCTCACCTCACAGCCTCCTTGGCCGTCCAGGGCTCCTCAGAGGCATCTTCTGTCTCTGCCTTGGGCCTGGTAGGTGTGTGAGTCCCCTCAGGGCCTGAGGAGTGAGGTTCATCTGGGAGCAATGAGAAAACCCAGCCACACGAGAGGCGAGGCTAGCCTTTCCGGTTAGCCATGGGCTCCAAGGGGCCGGGGCCCTGTGTCTTAGGCATCTCTGTACTCAGCCCTCACCTCCGCTTCTTACCTGCTCAGGGATCAGGTAGAGAAACGCATCCAAGACAAATGAACCCTCTTTCTCTGTTGCCACTGATGTTGAGTTCTTCACCTCAGTAGCATCCCCATCGTGTCAGTCAGATTATGCTTAGTGATGCTACAGTGAGAAATGATCCCGAAGTCTCAGTGGCGTCTGCCAGCCAAGACTCATTTCTTACCCATGTGACACGCCCAGTGGGAGTTGGTCGTGAACTTTAATCTGGGCCTCAGACAGAAGGAGTTGCCTCTACTGGAAACGCCAGTGATCTCATGACAGAGGGAAAAAGAGGGGCATGGCCAGCGACACACTGGCTCCCGGAGCTTCTGGCCGGAACTGACGTGTGCCATGGTTGCTCACATTCCTCTGGCCAGAGCCAGCCTGGCATCTGTGGTACAGATAGTTTGGAATGGTAATAGAATCTGTTGGGACCGCCATCCACTTTCAGACCCCTTCCTTCTCCTGGGCCTCCACAAATCTAACAGAAGGATGGGGTAGCTCTTTATGGCTCAGAAAGTCGACGTTCACGTGTGGCCTCGCTGTGTGTCCCGGGAGCTGGTCCCGGGGATTCCCTGCCTCTAACTTCTGTCCCTGTTATGTGTCCCTGTAGCCCCTGTGAGAGGTTCTATTTGCATCACTGCTTTCCTGTTCATTTGTATATTATCATAATCATGGAAACACAAAACTAGCATCTTGGGCACCTGCGTAGTGCAACTTAAAAGTTCTGTCGCGGTTGGGGTTTGTCAGAACCACTGGCTGCTCTGCTGCACTTGTGGCAGCCAACGGAGAAGGCACGGCAGAGGTGCTTACATTTATCTTTAGCTTTATTTTCTATCCTGATGAAAAAGACATGTACTTTTTATATTGTCACAGAAGAAACAGAACCATGATTTTTATTTATTTTTTTTTATTTTCGCGGTACGCAGGCCTCTCACTGTTGTGGCCTCTCCCGCTGCGGAGCACAGGCTCCGGATGTGCAGGCTCAGCGGCCATGGCTCACGGGCCCAGCCGCTCCGTGGCATGTGGGATCCTCCCGGACTGGGGCACGAACCCGTGTCCCCTGCATCGGCAGGCGGACTCTCAACCACTGCACCACCAGGGAAGCCCCAGAACCATGATTTAAGTCTCGAAATTTACGTCACTGATTTCGTGTTCTTCTCACAGTTCCACCATAAAGCGTGCAGGAACGTTGCTAGTCCACGGACGAGAGCTATGTGTCAAAGTTTTCGTTGATCTGTGACAAGATGAAAGGAAAAGGCTCACATATGGAGGGTGGCCAACTATCTTTGCTTGAAAAGGACTGTGTTGTACTCGAAGATGATATCCTCTCCTCAGTTTTAGTGTTAAAATGTCCTATGTCTTATGAATTGATGGTGATAGTAAGCAGTATTTTTTTTTTATATATTGCCTTTGCTCAGAAGAGCAAAAAGGGAGCAGCCCCATGTTGGTTTCCACCCTTTTTACTTATACCTAAAACCCCAAAGTCTGGAACTTCTGGTATGGTCCAACTTCTCTTCCAACGTAGCAATTCCCTACAGCATCCTTGGTGGGACTCCCCCATGTTAATCTGTCCAGGAGAGGAAACCTTCTGCCCCACAGTCTAACTGGTAGGGAGTCTGCTGCCAGTTGGCTGGGGCTCTGCTCTCAGCTGGTCTAGGCTGGGCGTCTTCGCTGGGGCGGCTCTGCCCCGTGTAGCTCTCAGGCTCCTCCTGGGACTGGCAGGCTAGCCCAGGCATGCTCTTCTCAGGAACCAGAGAGCACGTGGCAGCATGCTAGGCTCCAGAAGTCTAGCCTCCAAACCAGCACCCTGTCACTTTCACCTCGTGCCATTGGCCACAATACGTCACAGAGTTGAGGCGCTGGGAAAAATCTTCTGCTCCTTTCGTGTGAGGAACTGCAAAGCCATGCATCAAAGGGTATGGAGACAGGGAGGGGAGGAGAATTTGAGCCGATAATGCCATTGATCGCAATCCCAATATAAATCTTTTCTTTCCTGGGGAAAGCATTCCTAGTTAATTTAGATGGATTTTAGATGCACGTTAAAAAGGACTGCTGTGACTTCTATTTTCTTCCCTTCTATCAAACGTTATTTGGATGTGTCGAGGTGTAGTCCAAAGCGCGATGTGGGCAAGGAGTCTGAAGATCTGGGGCCCCTCTAGAACCTCGCAGCTCTGTGGCCTTGGGTATGTCCTTTAAATTCCCCATCTGTGATGATAACATTGACTCCACAGGATACGTGTGAAGATCAAGCCAACAAATGCGCTCTGTCCGCCATAACGAGCCGTTGGCGTGAGTGCTGACGCGCTGAGGTGGGCCACTAGAGACCCCGCCTCCCCGGGGAAACAGTCTGGGGACGTGGGCTCAGAGCACAGAGCGGGAGGGAAGGAGGAACTGGCTCCCCGCTGGGACCACGGGGTTCTTGATAAAGTCCCCTCTGTTAAAGAGAGAGAGAAGATGTTAAAGTCCTTCCTCGTTTCTCCTCGGTTCATTGTTATGTTCCAGTGGTTCTAAGAGAGACTTCTGGTATACAAAAATACTCCTGGGAAAAGCTAGTGCATATAAGCTTGACGTTGGGGGAGAAAAGTATCTATTTTTGGACTTCAACATGTATCTAAAACTATTAAGAATATCCTCTGTCTGAACACTGGCTCAGTCAGAATCCATTTCTTTTCCTGAGAAAAGAAAACAGTCACACTTGGTTCGTGGTTCATTGTCCTGGCAGCAACCCACTGGCTGTCTGAGACTGGCCCTTAGTTAGGGCTTGGTGGGGAGTGGATGGGGCAGATTCCCGGCTGCGCAGTGGATGGTGGAGTTGGGGCTCCGGAGTGGATCTCCTGATGGCCTGTCCTGCATTCGGGTGGGATGTTCCCATCACGCCTTTTCTGACAAGCACCATGTGGATGGTGCAGCCTGCGGGGGTCCAGCAGCCGGGGGTGGCTTTCTGTGCAAAGCAGAGCTCCTAAGTGGAATGGGCACTGCTTCCTACCTGCCCATGCTGCGACTTCAGGGCACACGTGGAGGAGAGGAGTATTGAAGGTCCCAGGGCTGCAGGGTTCTAGGCTGGGTCCCTCCCTTCAGGTTCCTTGTCCACCTTGCTCTTGACCACAGCACATCCGAATGTCTTTGAAGGGGGGAGGGGGGAGAATGTAGAAGTCATAGCATTGTTAGTGATTATTTGGGGAAATGTTTGTGTTGCAGAAGGGGAGAACAGAGCCACTACTCCCCAATCTCTGGAGTCCTGTCTGGAGAACGGGAGATTATTAAAGGGGCTTGGGGGCTGGGAGTTCTAAAGAGACACATTTCACTTCAATAGAAGAAAGGTGGTTGCAGCTACTATTGGGCAGCAGGATGGCTACTGGACTCCTCAGAGGGTGGCCCGAGGGCCCTTGAGAGCTTTCTTTCTTTAGCATCTGGGATGCAGTGTGATTCTGCTGGCATTGCCCCAGGACCTCCAAAGTTTTCTCAGGCGGTCAGGAGAATGGGGAAGGCTGGCCAGGGCGTGAGGCTGGCCGCAGAGCAGGCGCCCGGGCGGGAGTCTGCGGACTGTGGAGCGAGGTGTTCTTCTCCCAGTGACTGTTGTGCTTCTTCTCCTTATTTGTGTCCCTATTACTGATGTTGTTTGCGGTCCAGGAACTGAGGCACAGCAGTGGGCACCCCGTCTGGATGACCCTTCCAGGAGTCCTGCAGGGCGGCAGCCCCTAGGAGGTGGGAAAGATTGTGCCTGGGGAGGCCGGGGCTGAGTGGGAATGGGGTCTCGCTCGCTGCCCCCGGCCCCGGTCCCCACAACTGCATGCACCGGGACAGCACATCCTCTCTGAGCTGCACAGAGCAGGAAAGGCTTGAACTGGCTGATCAGTGTTCATCACTGGCTGCTGCCCTGAAGTCTTGTGTGTTTGCCTGGCTGTGTAGACGTGCAGAGTGGTTTGACGTGCACCATCTCACAGGTGCTCTCAAATTCTCCTCGAGCTGGTCATGGTTAGCCCTTTACAGATGAAGACGCTGATGACCAGAGAGCTTGAGAAGTCACCCTTATTCACCCAGCAGTAAGCATGGGAGCTGGGACAAGATGTAGGGCCTCTGGACCCCAGGTTATCTTCCTCCACTCTGGTGGCCCCTGGAATATGCTGCTCGCCAGGCAGGGAGCTTGGGGCGAAAAAGCGCCTCCTCTGGATCCACAATCCCTTACTGTATATTCACTTGAACTTCTGTTACGCACGGCCCGAGTTCTTTCTCTTAAATCTCACCCCTCCTCAATCCGTGGGCCTTCCAGAGCAGAGCTGCCACTGGTCTTCTGGCCCAGCTTGAGGGGAAAT